TCCCAAGTGCGAGAGATTTCCATAGTCTTGTTAGTTTCTCTTTTTAACTCAGAACGTGTTCATGCCTTATGCGACCACCCCAATTCTGTCCCATCCACCTGAGCTGGGCGCTTGAGGCCAAGGCTCCCCTTTCTTCTGGGGAATCATTGTCCAAGCACATGGATGCTCATTCTGGGCAGGACCTGCAAACAACCTGGAAAGGGCAAAAGGAAAATGGTGTGTCCTGTTAGAAAAGGAGTGTCTATAAACATAAATTTTGGACCAGTGATGCAGCTATTGAAGGAGGGGAATGGTTTAGAGAAACTGAGCAGTACTTCTATTACACACAATAATGAAAATCAATAAATGCTAAAATGGACTTTATTGAGCTGCAACACCAGGACAGTCACAGGAGGTAAAGGTGAGAGGAACACTAAAGCAGCATCTGGGGGTCTGGTTGGAGGAACACAATCTTACCAAATTATGAGCCAGGGCATGGCATTTGGGACAACCCCTGCTCACTGGAACGGATTCAGGCTCCAGGGCTCAGTCTGCAGCTGGCAGTCGATCCATTACCAACCACCTCAGCCATTCTGTCCAAAACGCCACCTCTTTCCCCTCTACTTTGCCTCCCACCTTCCTACATAAAACAGTGCCTATGTCCCCTCGAAATTACTCCAGGTTTTCAGCTAAAAGGGTCACCTGTGTCCCCACTAAGTTACCTCCGGTTTTCTGTCCAAAATGCTGCTGCGGTCTTGTCTGAATTCCCAGCCTTTCTCTCAGAAAGGCTCCTTTTTCTTCAAGATGCCCACGGATTCACCCCACAAAAAAGGTGATTTTGTTTAATCCAAATTACCTTAGCGTTTCTGTGAAAAATGTCACCTCTGCTCCCCCTGCCAATTTGTCTCTGCTTTTCCCTCAGAAACCTTCCTTCCAATCCCTGTGCAGGGCGCAGGTTGGACCCCTAAACCTCCCCTGACTAGCTCAGGTTTTACCCCAAAATTGTCCCTTCTAGTCCTGCTCAGAGAACCTCGATTCCCCGCCCTTTCCCCCGAATGTCCCTCATTAAATTGCCTCGGTTTTACCTCAAAATGTTAATGTTTTGTCCCCGGGATAGACGGAAGACCCCACCTCCCCGGTGTCCCGGGAACCGGTCGGGCCGCTCCTTCCCTACTCCGTGCCGCCCGCCCGGCCGCCCCCCGCGGGGCTGCCCCGGGCCCCGCCGGGCCACTGCCCGTTCCCCGCTCCCGTCCCCCACTGCCCGCTCCCCGCTCCCGTCCCCCACTGCCCGCTCCCCGCTCCCGTCCCCCACTGCCCGCTCCCCGCTCCCGTCCCCCACTCTCCATCCCTCCGTGTGGCCCCGGCGGGCACCGCGCATGCGCAGGTCCTTTCGCTGCAGGACCGCTGTTTGATCAGCAGGCGGCACTGGAGAGCCATTCAAGTCCCTGCGCATGCGCACTCAATGTACTGGCACAGTTAAACTGATGCCATCAAATTCTCCATCTCCCGAATCCAGGTTCTCCTTTGCCATGCGGTTTTTGTCTATCCCACAGTCTGGAGGGACCTCTGGCAGCTGCACTGCCCAAGAGCTGCCGAGGGACTGCTGGGAAACTTCCGACCATCGGGAGGGAGGCAGAAATAAAGTAATTCATGGCAGCACCTCAAAGTCTTGGGGGGAAAACCCCATAACATTCCATTGCCTCCCTCTTTAAACAAACACCAAAGTGCTTAAATACAACCACTAAACTGTACCCTACAACTGTTAGGCACTTTCCGTATAACCAGTGCAAGTCAGTTGTAAATTACAGTGCTGACCTTTTTTTTAAAGTTTCAAGTGTGATACAAAAAACAGTGAGAAAAGAGATTTCCCCCACGGTTTACTCTTGGGTTTGTTTTTTTCTTCCCTATTCCCAGTGCTGCAATACCTCAGGCTCCCAAAAAGCCCAGGGAATGCGCTGGAGGTTTTAGCTGCCCTGGAGCACAGGGAGGAACACGACGTCACCGCACCCACGGGCACAGACTCAAAGAGCATCAACACCATCGGCTCCTGGAAGCCCAGCTGTGCTGGGGCCTGGGGAGGAAGGGCACTGGCTTTTCTTCCTGCCTGAGAGCAAAAAGCCTTGGTGCTGATGACTTTTACAAAGTGCATCAGCTCTGAAGGGAAGCTCAGAATATTTAATCTCTCTGTATGAGAAAGATTTCTATTTCCAGGAAAATCTTTTCCCAGCTGAACTCAGAATGTACACACAGGGTAAGGACGAGGCTGAAGCAATGAGAAATGAGAAACACGTTAGGACTCTGGCACCAGTTCCAACACTGCTGGCACTACTCAGGAAAGCCTGGAAACCCCTTGGAAGCGATGCTGATTTCTTCCATTTTGTCCCAGTCTCTTCCTGGACCTCAACTGCTTTTAGCACAGGTGCTGCTGTCTCAGTAAGGTCTTGGAGTACCACTGTAAGATATTTTAAGAACTTACTGACTGAAAAGCATAAAGCTTTTATGATGGACATCTGAACTCCCACGAACAGCAGCTCCAAGGGACTGACACAGGTCTACACTCATAAGCCTAATACTTCACCCTTATTTTCATGCCCTCCTCTGGGAGAAGCAGGACACAGCAGGGTGTATGAGGTTTGGGCACTTAGTTACCTGCAGGCGGGCATGAATTTGATGGATGAGCAATGGGATGCTCCGAGGAGCTGACAGAAGCTTTGCACAGACGTGAGGTGCTTTGCAAAAAGCCATAAAAGGCATTCCGTGCTCTCCCCAGGCTGGGGTTCCCTCCATCAGCCCAGACTGGTTCCACCAAACTCGGCAGGCAGATGCGGGTGAGTCGCCTCCATGAGGCCACCATGTCCTTATGGGAGATGTCAGGGAGTGCCTTATGGGCACCTCACAGCCACTGTCTTGTTTGAGGGGGCTTGGGGTGCCAGAGAGGTTTTAGAGGGCGTGGGGAGGGCCTTGGGGGTGCTAATGGCATTTTCATGGGTGCTGGGAGGCAGTTGAAACTATTAAAGGTGGACTACAGTGCGCTAAAATGGATTTGGGGGGTGCTGGGGAGGTTTGAGAGTGGTTTGAATGTGCTGGGATGGTTTGGCTGGTAGTATGGGGTGTGTTCCGGTACTTGAGGAGAGATCTGGGGGTGCCTGAGGGGGGCTAGAAGGTTCTAAAAGGATTTTGGGGTGTGCTGGGGAGGTTTGAGGGGAGTTTAGGGGTGCTGGATTCTTTTGAGTGGTGCTAGGAGAGGTTTGGGGATGCTCGTTGTGTTTTGAGGGTGCTGGGATAGCTTAGAGGGTGCTAAAGGGGGCTTGAGGGTGCTAAAAGAGTTTTGAGGTGTGCTGGGGTTTAAAAACAGGTTTATGCATGGTTTGGGATGGTTTGAAAGGTGCTAGGAGGTGTGCTGGGGTTGCTAAAGAAGTTTAAGAGGGCGCTGGGATGTTTTGCAGGATTCTAGGAGGGGGTTTTGGGGTGCTAAGCAGGTTTTAGGGGGTGCTGGAGGGTTTTTAGAGTTCCAGAGGGGGGCTAGAGGTGCTAGAAGGCTTTTTGGAGGGGTGGGGTGGCTAGAGAGGGGTTGGGGGTGCTGGGATGGTTTGGAGGGTGCTAGGAGAGGGTTGAGGTGCTGATGTGTTTTCAAGGGGTGCTGGGAGAGATGCCTGGGGAACTTTAGGGGTCACCACAAGCATCTCATGTTTCCCGCCTTTTCCCCCTCACAGTTCCTGTCGTTTTTTACCTCCTATTTCACACCCTTTCCCCTTCACAGTTCCCACCCTTTTCTCCCTCGTGTTTCCCACTTTTCCCCTCCTTAATTTAAAGCCTTAAAGTGGTATCAAAGGCGGTTTTCCCCTTGACTTAATCTTTAAAATAATAGAATAATAGGTTTTCCTCTTGATTTAAAGCCCTTTTCTCCTGAAAACCCCCTTTTTCTGAAGTGTTTGGGCTGCACTGGGGAGAAACTGGAGGCACTCCCCCCCAAACATCCCCAGACCCCCTCAAAATCCCCCCTCAAACTTCTCCAAACCCTCCCAAACGCCCTACTCAAAGCCCCAAAACCCCTCAGCCCCCTCAAGCCCCAAGTCCCTCTTTAGCCTCCCCAAATCTCAACCAAAACTCCCATAACCCTCCAACCCCCCCAAATCTTCCTCAAACCCCCCTAAATCCCCCCAGATCCCCCACAAAATCATTCAACCACTCTGACTCCCCACAGCCTCCCCATATCCACCTGAAACACCCCAGAATATCCTCCCAGATCCCCCTCAAACCCAATCTCCCCAAAACTCTCCCAACCCCCCTAGACCACTCCAAATTCCCCAGACCCACAGTTTAGCCTCCCCATAATAATCCCCCCAAAATTCTTCCAAATCTCACCCACCTGAAGACCACCCCAAAATCTCCCAGACCCCCCATTTAGCCCCCACAAAATACCCTACAATGCTGCCTAAAACCCCCCAAATCCCCTCAAACTCCCTTCTTTAGCCCCATCAAATCCCTCCAAATACCTCAACCCCCCCCCAGTCCTACCCAAATCCGCCCCAAACCCCTGCCAAGACCACATAAACTCCCCATCCCTCCTTTAGCCCCTCCAAAGGCCACAAAATCCCCCCAAGCCCCCACAACACCCTCTAAATCCCCCAAGCACCCAAAACTCAAAAATCCTACTTAACCCCCCCAAAACAACCCCAAATCCTCCTTATACCTATGCAAAACTTCCCCAAACTTCTCAGGTTCTCCCAACTCCCTCATAGATCCTCTGCCCCCCCCCCGACCACTCAGAAAGCCCCAAATGTATTGTGTGCCTTCCCTTTGCACCTGCTGTGCTGGTAATGGGGTGTCCATACTGGTTTATATTGGTCTGTACTGGGGCAGATGGGGACACATGGGGCTCTCTGTGGTTCATTATGGGGCAACCATGAATTTGCACTGGTCCATACTGGTCTGTACTGGGGCAGATGGAGGCAACTTGGAGGTCTCTATGGGGCACTTGCAGGTCATTATGGGGCAGCCATGACTCCATACTGGTTTATACTGGTCCCAGGTGCTGCCCCTCACCCATGACCAGTTGCAGGTGCCGCTCGAGCAGGTGGGGTGAGACCCCCCGACCCCCTCAGGGGTGTCCAGGTGACCGCAGCATCATCCCCCCTAGGCCCTCTCACCTTCCCCCCAGGTTACCCCAGGAGTGTCCAGGTGACCTTGAGGGACATCCAGATGTGTCCCAGGTGTTCCCAACCCCCCTCAGGTGCCCCCGAGGTGCGTCCACATGTGTGCAAGTGATGCCAACTCCCCCCAGGTGCCATCCCATGATGCCCCAGGGCACTGTGCATGTCCCAGGTGTATCCCCTGGTGCCCCCAGGTAAAGAGGGCTCTGCCCCATTCCCATCACTGTCGAGTCCCTGCCCCACGCAGTGGACCTCCAGGTAGGCGTGGCCAGGCTGGGCCCCACCCACACACCTGCAAGAGGTGCTAGAGGCCCTGCCCCCTCCCCCGAGTGACATCACTGGCAGCCAATAAATGCCCAGGACAGGCCAGAAGAAGGTGGGGTTTATTCCGCGTGGGGACGGAGCGAGACAGTGATTGGTCCGTAGGGACGAGGCTGGTCCAGGCGCACCGTATGGGCACCACAGAGCTCTGAAGGGGTGGGGCTTGGGGTTAGGGGGCAGGGCTTAGGGAGAGGGGTTGGGCCAATGGGTGTGGTTTGTGGGAAGGAGGCGGGGCTGGAGCTGTTGGGGAGAGGAGGGTCCTCAGGAAAGGGAGGAGTTTGGGACACAGAGGATGTGGCTTGTGGGAAGGGGGCAGAGCTTGGGGCGATGGGTTAGGGAAAGTGGGTATGGCTTAAAGGAAATGGAGTAGAAAGGGGGTGTGGCTTGGGGAAGGGGTGGGGCTTGGGGAAAAGGGACAGGTCTGGAAGGTGAGCAGGTGGGGAAGGGGCGGGGCTTAAAGCAAAAGGTGCTCAGAGCCAGGGGCTGGGTTTCTGTAGAAAGGGCGGGGCTTGGGGAAGGAGCCCGGTGGGGTAGGGGGTGGGGTGGGGTTTGTGGGGAAAGGGGCGTTGGTTTGGCAAAAGGGGGCATGTCCCTAAACTCACCGAGGCTGAGGGCAAAGATCTTTGCCACGCGTGCGCGGGACGCCCCCGGGGGCAGCATGGCCGTCAGCTCCGATCCCCCCGGGCGCTGGGCGTGCTCCAGGATCAGTCTGGGGACAGTCCGGATCCCACAGATCCCAATCCCCAAATTTTCCCCCTACTCCCCAAATTTCCCCATTTTTGCCCAATTTTCCCAAAATGCTCCCTAATGCCACAGATCGCAAACCCACCCCATAGATCCCAATCCCAACTCACCTCCGAAGGTCGGGAGGAGCTTCAACCAGCTCAGGAAGCTCCGGAAGCTCTGGGACAACGGGTGGGGCCGGGGGCCTGTGGGCAGTACTTAGGGGGTCAGTGTGACCCCACCCACGTCCCCCAACCCACACCTTTCTGCCGTACCCCTCCCTCTTTCCCCAAACCCTGCCCCATTTCCTCCAGCTCTGCCCCCTTTTCCCCAATCCTGCTCCCTTCCCAAGCCCCGCCCCTTTCTCAGGACACACCCCTTTCTCCCCTGGATGGTGCAAGACCTGCCCCCAAGCAAAAGCCCCGCCCCCAAACCAAGCTCCAGTCCTGCACTGTCCATTAGCTGCACCCGGATTGACTACACCCCCAACAGACCAATCACCGCCCACCCAGAATAAGCCCCGCCCCTTTTCCAGGCCCTGCCGAGCATTAATTGGCTGCTGGTGACACCCCTGCCCCAGCCACGCCCCCACTCACAGTCTCTCCAGTGGCTCCTCCTCGAGGGGCTCCAGGGACACTTCTGGGGAGGGGGAGAGGCCAAAAGTGATCCCCTGGCCCTGCCCTCAGGGTGCCCCATAGCGATACAACACCACAGCAACCCCGCAACTGCGCCACAGTGACCCAACTGGCCCAGAGTGACCCCAAACTACCCACGGCGACCCTTAATTGCCCCATAGCGACCCCCAAACTGCCCCACAGCAACTGAAAACTCCCCCATAGTGACCCCCAAACCGCCCAGGAGTGACCTGCAAGTGCCCCACAGCGACCCCACACTGCCCCATAGAGCCCCCCAAGTGCCCCAGAGCCACCCCCGATTTACCTGAGATCAGGGTGGGCAGACTCGGCTCCAGGGCCTCCCGAAGCACCTGGAGAGGGACAGGGGTGTGGGGTAGTGGGTCTATGGGGCAGGATTGGGGTCTATGGGGTAGATCTATGGGGCGGGATTGGGATCTACGGGGCCTCACCTCCAAGTCGCTGGGCAGCTCCGGGGGCGGGGCCGCAGGCGGGGCAGGACGCCGGGCACAGCGTCCCCACAGCTCCCACAGCTCAGGGGGCAGCCAATCTATGGGGCAGAGCAGGAGGTCACCCACTGTGGGGCAGTAACCCCCACTATGGGGCAGGAATCCCCTGCTATGGGGTGGCTGTGGGGGTCTCACCGTGGGTGGGGGCGTTCAGGAGCTCACTTGGGGGGCGGCGGAACCTGTGGGGCGGCTCCAGCAGCACCTGTGGGGCAGAGACAGGATCTGTGTATTAATGTACAGGGCAGGGGGACCTCTGGACTAGATCTATGGGGAAGAGGGGTCTATGGGGCAGATCTATGGGGCAGGGAGGCATCCACCCATGTCAGGGTGGATCTATGGGTCGGGGGGATCTATAGGGGGATGTATGACGTAGGGGAACTATGGGGGAAATATGGGATCTATGGGTCAATCTATAGGGCAGATCTATGAGAAGACTTATGGGGTAGGGGGATCTATGGGATGGATCTATGGGACAGGGAGGGATCTGTGGGCATAGGGCAGATATATGGGACAGATCTATGGAGCAGGAGAGATCTATGGGCCAGAGGGTATCTATGGGGCAGTCTACAGGGCAGGGGGATCTATGGGGCAGATCTATGGGTCAGAACCCCCACACTCACCAGGGGCTGACAGTGGGCTTGGGGCTGGAGCAGCTGTGCCCGGAACAGCTTGGGGGAGATGTGGGGCACGAGGTCCATGTGGGGCGGGAGGCGACGACGGGGGATGCGGCGACGCACCGGGACCTCCGGAATGGGGGGAGGCAGGGCGGGCTCCTCCGGTGGGGGGGGACCTGCCCCAGAAGTGCTCACAGCCCCATAAGTACCCCACCAACCCCAAAAGTGCCCCCACAGACCCATAAGTGTTCCCACTCTACAAATGCCCCCCAGACCTACAAATGCCTCCCCATCCCCACAAGTGCTCCCACCTCATAATTGCCCCCAGCCCCAAAAGTCCCCCCCCAGACCCATTAAGTGCTCCCATCCCATAAGTGCCCCCCAAGTCTCACGGGGGATGGGGGGTGGCGCCGGCAGCTCCTCCAGTTCCTCCACTGTGGGCAGAGATCCTCAAATGACCCCACAGACCCCTAAGGGTCCCCCACCCCCTCTCCTGTCCCTCAAGTGGCCCCCCCAGCCCCACAAGTGACCCCAAGTGCCCACAATCCCCCAGCCCAACACCTGCCCCACACGGGGCCCCAAATGCCTCACAAGTGCCCATAGCAACCCCTAAGTGTCTCCCAACTCCTCCCAACCAATGCCCAAGTACCCCATGACCCCCAACTCCCCCCCTCCTGCTTGCCCCCCAAGTGCCTCCCCTGCCCCCCAAGTGCCTCCCCTGCCCCCCAAGCCCCCCCCTGCCCCGCAAGTGCCCCCCTCACCCGGGGGCAGCAGCTCCTCGGCCTCAGCCTCGAGCAGCAGCTGCAGCTCTCTGGGGGTCACTTCAGGCAGCTCCTCCTGACCCCAGAGACCCAAAGATTACCTCTGGGACCCCCAAAGACCCCCAGGGACCCCCCAGAGACCCACAGCAATCCCCAAGTGACCCCCAGCTGATGCCCAGGGAGCCCCAGGTGACAGCCAGGACCTCCCAGAACCCCAAATTGTGGCACCTCCAGGGGCGGCGGCAGCGGCGGCACTTCGGGTTCCCGCAGGGTGATGTACTCGGGGGACACCGTCACGGGGGGCCCTGGGGGAACAGACCAGCACAGCCCAGTCCAGAGTGAGGAGCACTACAGACGGGCATTCACCCCCCAGAGCTCCTGGCACCCACCAGTACGGATCAGTATGGACTAATGTGAATGAGAACAGATCACTACAGACCAGTACCAACCAGTATAAACCAGTATGGAGCACTGACCACCCATACACAACCTCTATACCAGTCCTAAACCTCCTGAGCCCACCACCACAATCCAGTATGGACCAGAATAGACCAACAACCATCCCCCTTCCAGCCCTAACCCCACCTACACCCACCAGTACAAACCAGTACAGCCCAGTACAGCACAGAGCTCACCTCGGGGGAACTCGATCTCAATGGGTGGGGGCAGGAGCTCCTCTACCTGTGGAGGAGGCACAGACCAGTATAAACCAGTATGAACCAATCTGAACTGGCCTGGGGTCACTATGGGGAAATCTGTGAACAATTTTGAGAAATTTGGGCGAAAATGGGGAACTTTGGGGAGAATTTGGGGAACTGGGGCCAAAGATGGGAAGGACTGGAGAAAAATTAGGCAAATTTAGGCAAAACTGAGGAAATTAGAGATAAAACGAGAAAATTACGGGGAAATTGATGAAATCTGAGGAAAACTGACGCAGAAATGGGGAAATTCGGGGCAAATTCGAGGAATTTTTGGGCCAACTTGTGGAACTGAGGCACATTTGGAGGTGTTTTGGGAAACTGGGGCAAAAATGGATAAATTAGGGTGAAGATGAGGAAATCTGGGAAAACTGATAAAATTTAGGGGAAACTGAGGAAAAATGGGGAAATTCTGCAGGGCAAATGGGGAAATTTGAGGCAAACTCAATGAAATTTTGGGCAAGTTCTAGGCAATTCTGGGCAGGAACCTGGCAACCAGGCCCTGCCCCAGAGCTCCTCCAATCAAACACTAAGGCTGTGGGAAGTGGCCACAGCCACCCAGGACCAAAAATGGGGAAATTGTGGAAATTTGGGGTAAAGTGGGGTAAAAATGGAGAAGTTGAGGGAAAATTGGGCAAATTTGGGGAAGTCTCGGGAAAATCTGAGGAAATTTGGGGAAAATGGGGAAATGTGGGGTCACTATGGGACTCTGGGGGGATGGGGGGGGCAGTACCTGAGGAAGCTCCACTCCCATCACCCCAAAAAAGGGGTCGGGGGCCAATTCCAGCTGCACCATCAGAGCCTGGGAATCGGGGAGCAGCTGGGTCCTGGGGGGAAAAAGGGGTTCAGGAGGTGCTTGGGGGAATTGGGGGGTCACAGGTGAGACCTCAAGGGTGTACCAGTGAGGCACAGGGGTTGGGGGGGCTTTGGAGGCAGGTTAGGGGTACCCTGAGGAAGTTTGGGAGGTCCCAGGGGTGTTTAGGGGTCCCAGAGGGGTTTGGGGATGTTCGAGGGTGTTTCTGGGGTATTTCAGGATGGATTTTTGGTGGTTTGTGTTGGCTTTTGAGGTTTGGGGGTGTTTTTTGCGGTGGTTTTTAAGGTAGTTTTGGGGTCTCTAGGTGTGTTTTTGGGGTGTTGTGGGATGTTTTGTTTGTTGGGTATTTTGGGGTGGTTTGGGTGTGCTTTGGGGTACTTTTGGACGTTTAGGGGGTGGCTTAGGGCTGTTTCGATCTGTTTTGAGGGCATTTGGGGGTTGTTTCAGGGGTGTTTAGGGCCGTTTTGGGGTGTTTTGGGGTATTTTGGGTTGTTTCGGGGGTCTCTGACCGGCGGGAGGGGCTCATGTCGATCTCCACCAGCGGGGGCCGTGCGCGGTGCAGCCGGTCCAGGATCTGCGAGGCATCCTCTGGGCGGGGGAGGAGCTGCGGCTGGAACGGGACCCCCAAACACCCAAACACCTCCCAGGGTTCCCCAACACCCCCCAGCCCACCCCCGGATCCCCCAAACATCCCAACTTTCCCCCCCGGGGACCCCCCCAAAATCCCACTCAAGCCCCGCCCAGCCCGTACCGAGCAGGTTCCCGCACTGCCGCACGTACACCCGGACCAGCCCGAGCTGCAGCATCGCCGCCAGGTACAGCGAGCACCGGGGGGGCGGAGCTCCTGCCGGCGGGGGCGGGACCTCCCACCCGCTGCGACCATTCACGAACGACACCACGGAGGCACTGGGCGGGGTTGGAGAACAAGGGCCAATGGGAGCGAGGCGGGCACGGGGGCCAGTGGGAGTTTTTGGAGTATTATGGGGGGGTGGGGGATGATTGGGAATATTTCGGGGTATTTTGGCAGCAGGCTTGGGGCGGTTTGGGTGGGCGAGGGGGCGTCTTGGGCTGTCTCAAAGTTTTGAGGCTTTTCCCGCCCGCCGCGACCAATCACGGTTGACATCACCGCGGCTTTGGGCGGGGCCAGAGAACAGCCGGCCAATGGGAGAGGCAGGGGCGGGGCCATGCGGGGAAGGGCGAGGTGATTGGCTGCCGGGCCCCCCTTACCAGGTGCGCGGCACGTCCACCCCCAGGTACTCCCGGCGCAGCAGCCGCGAGCTGCAGGTGGCGGCCAACCTGCGGGAACGGCCCGGAACGGCCGGAAAAAAGAGTCGAAACCCACCCGAAACCACCCGAAACCCCCCCAAACCCGAGACAGAACGGTCCGAAGCGCCCCCAAAACCACCTCCCCTACCAGATGGTGCCGAAACACCCCGTGTGACGCCGGAGCACCTCAGGGTAGTAGAACATGGCGGGG